ACCCACTCTTTCTGGAACTATTCTACATTTTTGTGACCCTCAGAATTATCATACTACTACCTTTATTTGTTATTAGCTCTATCCTATAACCAGTTTATTTGTTGGCAGGAAACAACAGTTCTAAACTTTAAGTTAAATGATTTATTTTCTTTAAATAAAACTAAGTAAGACTTTTGCTTGTGAACAGCAGATAATTTGTTTTCTTGCCCAATTTTGTTTACCTTAAGTATGCCTACCTTTTTTCTTATTTTAATTCATACTGAGGACTTAGACATTCTTTTGTCTTCAGAAGAATTAATAACATTTTAATATTACAAACTTAAGAAATGTGAAGCTCTTCTTACGCAGCTGAGTTATATGGAAAATGTTGTTGTTGAGTACTATCAAGTTGGAGCCAACCCATAGCTGACCCTCCTGCAGATTTTCAGAAGCAGTCATTTTCAAGGGAGAAGATTGCTCATCTTTCTCCCATGGAACAGCTGGTAATTTAGACCAAGTACCTTTGAGTTGATAGTCCAGTTTCTTACAACTCAGCCACCAGAGCTCCCTTATATAGAAAATAATAGTAGGTCATTTCAGCTTGAGCAGTATGGCATAAATTGAGGGATTCTGGCAGAAACAGCTGTATACTTTACAAACCTACATGCAGGCCATAGAAATAGAAGCCATTTCTAGGGGAGACATGGCCAAATTGATATTTTTTTTTTTGTCTCTCTAGATAGGTTACGTACCAGTATAGCAGCAGTTAAAACTTCAAAGTTCAGCTAGGTTTTTGTTCCCATTAGTTAATTGCCTTAGTTAAGTAGATGTCTAAACAGATTCTTAAAGTAGGTTTTCTAAAAATAAAGAACAAGAATTAGATTCTTGTTTTTAGCTTTAAGAATTGGTCTTGGTTAAGTGTATTTAAAGATAGTATTTTGAGATCATTTGACAGAAAGAAAATGAGCTTTCCAGTGGAGTTAGGTTTGGATTTCAGTTCTTTTATTTCCTTTACTGACGTTAAGCCAGAATTTAATCTTTCCTTGCCTAATAGGAGTAAATGAGTTGTTATGAATTTACTTACATGATTGTATAACATATAGGATACTCCCAACACTAATTTTATATTAAGATGACTCCTGTCAAAAACCACTTCAAACTTTATACTTTTACCTAAATTATTTAATCATTGGCAAAACCCTGTGCTTATTTTTTTATTGCTTTCTATTTTTAAGATTTTCAAGAGTTATTTAATTTTTGGCCTACCTCAAGGTGATAAACCCTGAATTGTCCTGATGATAGAACAAATTGAAATAAAAATTATATAACAAATTATTATTGCTATAGTGATGAACTTTTGTTATTTCTACCTACTATGGAAGGTGAATTTCATTGGATAAACTAAAAATCTGTAATAGATTCTAGAATCAAACAGATTGATTCTTCAGGTCTTGATTCAGCCACTTACAAAAATCTTTGACCTTGGATAAATGACTGATCTTTTCGTTTCCTCATCTGTAAAATGGAGGCATTGACATAGACAGCTGTCTGTGATGTTAAAGCTTTAGAGAATATCCCCTTGGTAAAGTCTTACTTAAAGTCTTATTCTTAACAGAGCTTAATAATTGATGGTGGTGGTTGTGTGTTGAAACCAACTCAGCTATCTTTCCATCAGATTTTCAGGGACAGTAAATCACACAGGAGGAGATTGCCCTTCTTTCTCCCACAGGGCAGCTGGTGGATTCAAACCTCATGCCTTTGAGTTAGCAGCACATTTCCTTACTACAAGGCTACCACAACTCCCTTAATAATTGATAGTTACTACACTTCATTTTAACTCAGACTCTCTTTTTCCCTGTAGCATTTGGATTGCCTTCTGTCTCCTAAGATTGTCATTTGATTCATTGTTGTCCTTTTGAAATTGTTCACTCAGGGAGGTGTTTTGTGGACAGTAGTCTCTTGTAGCTTGTTGGTGCTGGTCAGTACACTATTTTCACTGGACCTTGTGAAATGAAATTGTGGTCAGAGCAGTATATAAACTTTCACAAACTTAAACTTGGTGAATATAGAGTGTTTGGTTTGTCACCAAAACTTTTTGAATTGATGGTGGTGTTTCTTCATTTTGAGTAATTTTTATAATTAGAAGTTGACCATCCTGTGTCTTCAAAAAATGCCATTGTCAAGAGTGCAACAAGTATACAATGTATAGACTTAGAAATTCAGTAACATTTTAAAGTGTAATTCCTGGACAACCTGTACTCTTAAAAATGTTATTAGATGGTTTTCCTACACAATCATATTTTTTGTGTGTGTGATCTTTGACAAATATAATTAGCAACCTTTTGGTGAATGAGCAGGGAATTTAAAGAAATTATTTTGTTTGGACATGTACTGTGTTTTGTTTTCTTTTGAATGGTGGTTGTGTTCTTGTATTTTTACAGTTAACACAAACCTTAATGATTTAAGCCTTATGTAACTGTAAAAAAGATGAAACTATAGATTTGTGATCTGTAAGATATTTATTCTATGGTATAAAATGCTGTTTTGAAGGAAATGGTGTTTATATGTACCAGTTTGGTTTATGATAAGTCATTGTTTTTTTTTGCCCCTCCATTCTTTGAAGGCCTTCTTAGACGTATGTCTAAACTTTGTCCTACTTTTTACAATTTTAAGATCAATCTTTGTACTATAACAACATCACTGTATGCTAAGAATGCAAAGTGAGATTCTCACTGAAGTTTCTAACAGAGCTGTTGTTGTTAAGTGCCGTCGAGTCGCAAGCGACTCATAGTGACCCTATGAAGGAGAGTCTTTGATGCTTGGGTGCCTTTCATCCTCTCTCCAAGTTCATAGGGTTTCCGGAGGCAAGCTGTTATGGAAGTGGATGCCACTTCTCCTTCCACGCTTGCTTAATCGGGGAGCTCCACCCCACTCTCAGTCCACATTGGGTAGCCAACCATTAACGCATTTGACACATCCGTGTCACAGTGTTCAGCCTCACAGCAACCACAAGTGACCACGGGATGGCAACTTGTACACCAGAGCTATACGACCTAGAGGAATGTCTGAACAAAAACAATGAAAGACTGGCCTCAGGGCCGCGAACTAAAAATCACTCACCTTTGTCTTGGTCACATCGTTTTCTCTTCACTGGGCCAACTGATCTCTCTCTCTCGCTCTCTCTGTAATAATTGTTATGTGCTGTTGAGTCACCTGCAGCTCATAGCAACTCTGTGTACAACAGCTCTAAAACCTGCTCTATCCAGTGCAAATCTTACTGTCTCCAACACACCTTTACCCTAGTCACTGAATCGATCCATGTTATTGAGGGTCTTCCTCTCTTGCACTGTTCCTCCACCCTCCCAAGTTTGATGTCCCTCTCCAAGGACTGATCCCGCCTTGCAATATGTCCAAAGTATGTCAGACGGATCGTCAGAATCCTTGCCTCCAAAGAGCAGCCTGGCTTCACCCTCTCCAGGATGAACCTATTTGTTCTAGCAGTCCATGGTTTATTCAGTACTCTGCTCCAGCACCACAGCTCAAAGGCATAAATTATCCTATTATTCCTAGTCATTGTCCAGCTTTCCCATGTACAGCAAGAAATTGCAAAGATCGTGGCCTGGATCAGGCATACCTTAGTCTCCAGACTGACATCAGTGCTCTTCAGTACTTTGGAGAGATCTCTGACAGCAGACTTTCCCAATGCAATTTGTCTTTTTATTTCCTGGCTGCTGGTACCAGGTTGTGCAGTCAAGTATTGATTGTGCAGTCAAGCAAACTAAAACTGTTAACAATCTCAGGCAACTCAGCGACCCCATGAAGGAGAGCCTTTGACGCGTGGGTGCCTTTCATCCTCTCTCCAAGTTCATAGGGTTTCTGGAGGCAAGCTATTATGGAAGTGGATGCCACTCCTCCTTCCACGCTTGTTTAATCGGGGAGAATAAATAAAACTTACCTATATTAGTCAAGAAATTAAACTCTTGCTAAAGCTGTAGGTATTAATCTTCTAATAAAAATGAATTGATATTTTTTTACATTCTTATTCTATGTGATTTAGAGATATGGAGTACCCTTAGAAGCAATTTATTACAGCCTTCCAGATGGGAAAATGCCTTTGTGATCTTTGACAAATATAATCAGAAATGGAATTTCCCAATTAACTTATAGCCCTAATACATTTTTAGATTATTTTAATTCTTTCAGCCCCTAGATTTTCAGAACTTTACGGAAAAAAAAAATTACAGCTTTATGGAATGAATATATTAATTTTTTTACCTTATCATAGACTGGTCTCAAAGATCATTAATCCCAGTAGTTTTAGTGTAATACAGGCCAAAAGAATAAAGTTTTGTTTCAAAATAAAATTAGGTAAAGTAGTATATGTGAGTGTATATTTAATTAGCCTTTTGGAAGTCATAAGTAATGGTTAGATTTTCAAAGTTCTGTGTGTTTTTTCTTTGATATTGTAAAACCACCTTGATAGCAAGTGTACTTAAATATCAGTGGGTTATCACTTTAAGAATCCTGCTACTAATAAAATTCACTTTGTCCATAAAGCTTTTGATTAACTTTAAAATAAGGGATATGAAAGTTAGATAGTTAGAGGAGAAAAATTTTTATCTTAGAGACTAGATTTATTTACATGTATTTTTAAGAATATTCACTTATTTAAGAATATTCACTAATACGTGTATATTTTATTTTATGTAATATCCTGCAATTAGAGATTAAAATGAAAACTGCTTACAAAATTAAGGTAAAATATATGCAAAGATTTCATTTCTATAGTAAATTAGTGATTCAACCTTGATTTCTCTTTGGTTTTATCTGTGGGATAGAGGTTTTTGTTATGGAAAATATAATTAGCATTTAAAAATGTGGTTTAGAAAATATTTAGTTTGAAAGATTGATTTTGATTGTTAGCTCTAGGAATTTATTGCTTTTTCTTTTGTCATCATTACTAAAGGTTAAAATGTACAGTTATTAAGGAAATTCACAATTTCCATTTTGATTTTTCTCAGGATTCACTCCTTCTCCAGTTGCACAGCAACATCCTTCAACTGGCCTTAATGTTGACTTTGAATCTGTGTTTGGAAATAAATCTACAAATGTTATTGTAGATTCTGGGGGTAAGCATTTTTTTTAAATGGTATAATTGGATTCTTTGTAAGGAAACATGATGTTACTTGACACATATAAGTAAACTGAATTAGGATAGCTGAAGTATGGAAAATAACAACCTGTAGGTATCATGAGTTATTACAGTCTTGGTAAACTAGAATATGTTAAATATTACAACTATAGGAGCAATAACTTTTTATTGCTTTAAAAATTATTATAGTGTTAGAAGAACTTTATAAATCAGAAGATCTAGGCTTCCACTCACTAAAGAGAATTTTAGGTTTACACTTAAACGTATCTGTTTACTATAAAAAGTAAGAGTTCCCATGGAACTGATACTCTGTAAGTCTACTCTTATGGAATTGACCTTTGATTTAGATAGGTATTAAATTGTATCCATTTAAATAGAATATTGAAATTCCTAATTTCATAATACCATAGTTAATTATCATTCAGGAAATAAACTTTTAAAAAAATGTGTGAATAAATTATTTTACTTTTTTCTTCGTCTTACTGGGAAAGGAATAAAGAAAATAGAAGCTAATCATTCATATATTTTAAGCCACCATCTTTGGTGATTTTCTTTTCAAATCTGTGAATGTAAACACTTATATTCCAGTGAGTTCCCTATTGAACTGATTAGATTTGCTGTTACCTTTTATCCTCTGTTACAGAACCTTAAGCTATTTTTTCATTTTTAGGCCATGTCCTAATTTACTAGTTGGCAGTTGGAGAGTAGTTTAATAACTACTGTTAAAAAAATGTATGAAAAAGAAAGATAACCTCAGAGTTCCTTTTTACTTCCTATTAATGCACACATGCCTTACATTCTTTATTTTAAAGAATATTTAAAAAATGATATAATTCTTGGAATAAAAGGAACTTTTAGTAGAGATATATTTTTATCTGTGTTGTTTCAGTAATAAGTGAAATGTTAAGAAATGTTACTAAATGAGAGGATAATTACATTTCAGCCCCCCCCTCTTTTACAACCTAGCATTAAAAAAATATTTCACCTGGTTACTTCTCTCTTAGGGAGGTCAGGTGGCCTAGTATTAAGAAGCTGTGATGTCAACCCAAAGACACAGTTCAAATTCACCACTAGCCATGGGAAAAGAATAGGCAATCTGAAAACTTGCTGGAGGGTCAACTGTGAGTTAGTTCTGACTCAGTGACACCAACAGTAACCTCTCTTTTAACCAGTGTTTTTAACCATAATATTTCTTTTCATGAGAAAAAAAAATACAGATTATTTCTGTGAAAGCGAATACAGCCTGTTCTGTCCGTCACTACAAATTAGAGAATTTCTTTTTTCATTTAAGAGCATTTGACCTAGTGCTAAATTTTTATTTATTTATTTTTAAATAACTTTTCCCATGAGCAAACAAGGCAGTAAGGCAGAGTCCCCTTTTAGGTAAAGTTCCTTACAAATCCTATTTCGTCTGTTTGTAACTTTAAGGCTTTGATGAACTAGGTGGACTTCTCAAACCAACAGTGGCCTCTCAGAACCAGAGTCTTCCTGTTGCCAAACTCCCGCCTAACAAGTTAGTATCTGATGACTTGGATTCATCCTTAGCCAACCTTGTGGGCAGTAAGTATTTGTCTGTCTTCTTCTTTTTAAAAAAGTTTGTTTATAAAAATGAGTCTATTTTAAAATTCTTTCTTCTGTTATGCTAGATCTTGGCATTGGAAATGGAACTACTAAGAAGTGAGTATTTTTTTTTAATCTGTTTAAATTTCATCTTGAAAAGAATATGTATGCATCTTAAATGCATTGTTAAATCTTACTATATAGTTTTTTTAAAAAAGAAACCAAACCACTCTCACTTTATAATTTAAAGTTTTTAATATTCTTACATTTTTAATTTACAGTGATGTAAATTGGAGTCAGCCAGGTGAAAAGAAGTTAACTGGAGGATCTAATTGGCAACCAAAGGTAGCTCCAACAACTGCTTGGAATGCTGCAACAATGGTGAGTCAGAAAGGCTCAGGATATATTAAAGATGAATAATTTAGTTAGATGTTGAACAGGAAACTGTTTTTAAAGTGATAAGACATTGATGGAAAGATTATTGTTGCGTTTTAGTAATTTCTTTTTTTTTTCCCCCAGGAAGCTTTTTGCTAGATTTGTCAGGTATATTTTAATGACCAACATTTATTTGTGGCTTACTATATATCAGATGTTCTTCAACAAATAGTATGTAGTCCTGTTTTAGCTAATCCTCAGGTTAACCCTGCGTGATAGTAACTGTTAGCCTGTTCTACAGATGAGAAACTGGAGGCTCAGTTACTAAGCAATATGGCATGAGTCCAAGAGTTCTTAAGTGATTAGATGAATGTTGAGTGTGCAGACAGCCTAACTCTAGGGCGTATATTCCTTATATTAGTTTCATGTCTTACTTTCTCTCATTGCTGTCAAGTTCAAACCAACTTGTAGTTACCCCTTAAGCGAGTTCTTGGATTTATGGGCTGTAAGCCTCAGAAGAAGCAATTGCCTATCTTTCTCCTAAAGAGCTGCTGGTAGATTCTATTTTAGTTTCTTGTTAGTATATTGTATAAATTATATATGTTAATTCATTAGTTAATATCTAGTACTGAAGAAGTCTTGGGAATTATTTTAGTTGCTGTAAGGCACAGTTGACCAAGAGTAATCTTATGTGTGTACTTTTATGTTTGGCTAGCTGTCCTTTTACCAAGTCAACAAGTCTCCCTGAGTCAGAGAACTTTTAATTTTATTTTAATAGAAAAATGTGTAACTTGCCTTCTTTAAAAAGTGTTCCAATAGTAGATATATTAAATAGGCTACTCTATTGTTGAACCCCTTTTTGTCTGTCTTTTTGTTAATTTTATTATGAATTAATTTTATTAGTAATTAACTTTGTTATTAATTGAGCCATTTTGTTATTAAATCCTCTCCAGAGCATTGTTCTGTTCACTTTGGGTCAATTATATATTAGTAGCAATGAGGATTAAAAAAAAAAAGATGTGCTGATAAAATTGTTTATGCCAAAAAAGGTGTGTGTTTTTTTTGCTCCAGACTTCATAAATGGAAAATAATATGAAAATTTAGCTACCTTTTAAGGTAGTAATTTTTAAATGGTAGCAGTAGCTGCTGTTACTATTAATAAAACTTTCCGTTTAAATAGTCTTGTTATCTTGAACATGAAAGTGATACACCCTCTATGATCCTTTCAGCACATTTCATTGTTTCAGTCTTAAAGAGTAAACTAGATGGTTATTGGTTTTGGATGAATTTTCACCTGAAAAATGAAGCAGCTAAAAGTAGTAGATTTAAATGGAAATAAATTCCTTCTAACTCTGAATACAGTGTTTTCTTTTTGAGGCGGTATTTCAGTATATCACTGTTTACTGACTAGAATATGGAATTTATGCTTTCCTAATGTTTGAGGGATGATTTAATTAATACAGTGAATAGTTTATAGTCTTAGAATAAGCTTGTTCTAAGTCATGTGAAATTATTTGTTTTAGATAGTACTTGACTAAATACTATTAGAAAGTAATAGGCCTCTTACCATCTAAATTTTGTATAGAAGCTGATGTGAATTTCTATGGTTTTGTGTTGTATATGGCAATGTCTGTCATCTCTTAAGAATTTCGTTAATGTTTTTATATGCATTGTATTTTATAGATTTCCTTTTTAATGGCTAAAGTTTAAGACTGATGATGGGATTCACCAGTTAAAATAAACTGCTGCCATTGACATTTCTTTACATTTCTAACCTTTTTATTAATCCTTAAACACTATCAAGGTTGTTAATTTTTTTAAATCATTTAAACAAATTAATTGAAAGTTTATGAAAATTTATAATAATATACCACAGATTTATTTCATAATGTCACTGCTTGGTCTTTTTCTGTAGTGGACATCTTCTTTTGCAACCCTTATATAGAATGCATTGACTTTTACATTATTTGACACTGCTGATAGATACTTTTATTTTAATGGCACATGTGATCATTAAACTTTGTTCATGTAAGAGAATGAGGCCCTCTCACTATATTTCCTTTGTAAACCTTGATAGTGTTTCAGTGTAGATGTTCTTTCATTAGATAATAGAATTAAAAGAAACTTCAGGTAGTGAATGTACATGTGAACTAAAATGCTCTCTGTGTATTTTCTGTTGTGTAAGTACTTGTTCTAATCCAGTGTTATTGCATTATGTAATTGTTCTCCCTGGGAAAAACAGAATGGCATGCATTTTCCACAATACGTAAGTGACCAAAAACTAGCCTTTTTGCAATAAATTGGCATGCTATTAACCACTGCTATAGCAGAATCTCATAACCTTCCAGCTATTACTTGTTTTCACATTCAGATTTTCAATGTGCCAAAAATTCTTCCTAGCATCTACTGATTTCTTGGGTGTGTTGCAGAATTAATTCTGATGGTGGCATGGGAAATACCAATTTTTTTTTCTTGCTTAATATTCCGCCATTTGCTGCCAGATGGCTGGGTGTCTGTGTGTGTATCTGTGCTGCCACTATGCACTTTGACAACTTCTGAATGAAGGGAAGTGTGGATTGTGGTAATGTTTAAAGTAACAACTGCATGAAATTTTACAGGCTTCTGCTGTACTTGGCAGTTTGTTCACTGCTCTTGCAGATTTTGGTTTTTAAGTAGGGAAGAGACCAATACATCCTCTATGCCCACCCAAACTTTTAACGATTTTCTTTAGTGTTAATTTTTAAAAGTTATTTTTCATTAAACTTCTCTATGCATATGTTCAAATTGCCATATGATTGCTGTTTTGGTTTGATTTTTTTTGTTTGTTTTTAAATTTGCGGTTGTTTTTTTTTTTTTTTTTAATTTCAGCAGTTTTATTGGTCTTTCACCTGTATTCAATTTCAGTTTTAATTTTAAGATAACACAGAATGTTGTTAAGACAGCAGATACATCTAAAATGATTCTTTGCTCAGCATCTATGTTTAAGAACTGAAATTAAACACATTCCCACTGAGTCTAACTCATGCAGCATTTTTTACAGAGCATGGATTAAAATAGGAAAAATGAGGAGAACTTTAACATTTTAGTGGTAAATGGTTCTTTTAAACATTAAGAAATTAACTTAAAATATAATGTTTCACAATGTTTGTGAAGGAATGATTGAAATGTATACAAATTTTGTATGCAAACAAATATAAAATAAAAAATTTAATGTCTTTCAAATTGGGACTTAACAGAAAACAATTTTAAATTTAAAGGAAAACTAACATGCAAACTATGTGAAACCTGTGTTTGTTATAGATAGTATACTCAGTAGTGGTTTAAAATTGTTGTGGTTTTTGGAAAAGAGCAAATTCTCATTAGAAACCAGAGTTTTTTAAAATCAGGTTATTCATTAATTTGAGATTTTTCTGTTTTTACTTTATATAGCAAAATAAAATACCCAGAACATTGAATATTATTTTTTATATTGGTACTTCACATTTTAGATAAATATTTTTTAAAACCTGAGATTTTTAAAGCTGTAAAAACTGCGATCTTAGATTATAGATTATTGTTTTATCTAAGTTTAAGTCATGTTTTTTCTTACTAATATAATAATTCTGCTTTTCTGCTAATTAATTATAATCAACCAACTATTAAAGATTTCTCTTCATTGGGCTTTAATTGATTTAATTTAATTAATGATCACAAGAGCCACTTAATCACAGCTGTCTTAGCAATTCTTTTTGAGAAACTATTGCTATTGATTACTTAATTCAGTTTGTACACTTGAGTTATATTTCCTTGCTGTTGTTTTTTGTTGTTTTGTTTTTGTTTTTTTTTACTATGTTAGGCACCGCCTGTAATGGCCTATCCTGCTACTACACCAACAGGAATGATAGGATATGGAATTGTAAGTATATTTCAGACACAGCTTTTTAAAGAAGTTTCATTCATATCCAATGTATTTGTACTAGAAGCATAATGAAAAGAGCAACTCATTACTACTAGTGTATACACAGTTCCTGTGTAATAACAATGCTTACATAAATACATCTCGAGTAATAAGTACCATTTATATTTCATTCCTGACTCCTGTGAGCAAAGCCCTGGAGCTCCTGATGTAGTTTGGGTTGAATCTCTTGTCTTGCTTTGAATCCCTGACTGTCAGCAAATCCTGGTAGAATTCTGGGATGATGGGTGTCATACTATTATGTTCCTGCTGAACTTATTTTGCTAGGTATTTTTGTACCAAATTTTAAGACTTTATTACTATGACAGTGTATTTGATATAGAGAAGTCTTTAGAACCTAAAAACACTAAAGTGGAACTGGTAGTCTTAACATTTCTTGCTTTTCTAGCAATGAATCTAGTGCAGGAAAAGCCAGAGAAATGTTTCCGCAATGAATCTAGTGCAGGAAAAGTCAGAGAAATGTTTCCGTGACAATGATTATAGAGTACAATATCCCTTTAACCTCCAGGCTGCATGCAATTTACAGTGTTTCACATAATTCTATAAATATAAATTTTCTGATATAAGAAGTGAAGGAAGGGACTTCATCTATCTTTGAAGAAATGCTGCAGGTAGGAGGCAGCACTATGCCTTTTGGTGTTGCTTTGACTGCTTTATTACTGCATCATATAGAAGTAGCTCCTTGCACATATGATCTAGGAAGTATCAGAAGAAGAAAGAATACACAGAGTCACTGTACCAAAAATAATTGGCTGACACAGAACTATTTCAGAAAGTAGCTTATGACCAAGAACCAGTAGTGATAAAGGAAGAAATTGAAGCTGAAGGAATTGGCAAAAAGTAAGGCCTCAGGAAGTGATGGAATACTACTTGACATATTTCAACAAACAGAGGCTGCCCTGGACACACTCATGAGGTTGTGCCAAGAAATCTGAAGGACAGTTACCTGGCCAACTGACTAGAGGAGATTTGTATTTATTTTCATTCCCAAAATAGGTGATCTAACAAATAGTGGACATTCTCAGACAGTATCACCCATGTCACAAGCAAGCAAAATCTTGCTAAAAAATTCTCCAAAAACTTCTAGAACCAGAACATTGACAGAGAACTGCCAGAAATACAAAATGGTTTTAGAAGAGGCCTTGGCACTGGGGATATCATCACTTCTGTCAGGTAGATCTTGACTGAAAGCAGAGAGTAGAAGGATGTAGATTTGTGTTTTATCAACTGTTCAAAGGCATTTGACTCTGTGATCACAACAAATTGTGGCTAACATTGAGAAGAATGAGAATCCCAAAACACTTCATTGTGCTTATGTGAAACCTGTAACTAGACCAGGAAGCTGTTGTCTGAACAGAGAAGGGAACGACATTGTTCAAAATCAAGAAAGGAATGGGTCAGGAATGTATCCTTTCTTCATAGATTTTCAGTCTGTATGCTGAGCAGATCATTTGAGAGTCTAGACTTTATGAAGAAGAATGTGACATCAGAATTGAAGGAAGACTTCATCAACCTACATTATGCAGATGACACAGATCACTGAAACTGAGAAGAACTTGAAGTGCTTACTCAGAAGATCAAGGACTCTAGTCTTCAATAAGAATTGTATCTCAACATCTAGAAAACAAAAATCCTTACTATTGGGCCACAATTTCATTTTGCTCAAATCCACCATCAACACTCTTGGCACCAGCAGTCAGGAAATCCAGAGACAAGTTGTTTTGGGAAAATCTGTTTCAAAGTGCTAAAACATGATACTAGTCTGGAGACTAAACATGCACTGAATCCAGGCCATGATCTTCTCGGTTGCTTGCTAATGCCTCTGCGAGCTGGGCAGTAAATGAGGATGATAGAAGGAGAACTGATGCCTTTGGGTTGTGGTACTGCAGAAGAGTACTAAAAATCATGGCCTGCCTAGCAGACAAAGAAGTCTGGCCTGGAGAGGGTGCTACCAGGCAAGGATTTTGAAATTGTGTCTCATGTACTTTGGGTATGCTCTCAAGAGAAGTCCATCCTTGAAAAGGACATCATGCTTGGAAGGATGGAGGTGCAGGAAAGGAAGACCTAGATCAGATGGATTGACACAGTGATTGTGGCGATGGGTTTGGGTGTGTCATAGATGGTGAGATTCAGGAAAGGGCAAGATTCAGAGCCATTGTTCATAGGGAGCTGTAGTCAACAGCACATAAGAAAAACAATAAACTTATTTCCATTTAGAAGAATTTTCCCTTTGAGTCAAGGTACAGGTACTATACTTTTTAATCCAGTCATCCCTCTTTCTTGCTTATATAATAGCATCCTTTGATTTGATACTCTCTTTTTTTTTTTAGCCTCCTCAAATGGGAAGTGTACCAGTTATGACACAACCAACCTTAATATACAGCCAGCCTGTCATGAGACCACCAAACCCCTTTGGCCCTGTATCAGGAGCACAGGTAGTGCATGCTACACTTAGCTGTCTTACTGTGTTTGATTTGGAAGGGGAAACACTAAAATATCCTTTTTACCATTTGACAATTTTTCACCTTCACAATGAATGTTACTTGGTTAATATCTTTCTTTCAAGAATATTGATTATTTGGAGGGAAGAACTATGAAATTTTGATAGATCCAGGGGATAGTTTATTTAATAAAGTTCAGAAACTTACTTTCGGTTCATGGAAAGCTTCTTGGAATGCTAGCCTTTGGGAACCTTAAAAATCACACATTCAGAGCTCCTGCTCTTTGGCTGACAGTTTGCTTCAGCAACAAGGATATTACCCTTAAAATCGTTATAACACTGTTGAAAAGTCTTCAAGAAGTTGTTAATGTTTTTAACTAGGGAAGATTGTACTACTGAGAAATGTAGTTTAAAACAAACAGAAAGAGGAGGAAGTCTTAACTTACCATACTTAATTTCTTTACTAGAGAACCTTTCCTCTTCAGATGTTTCTAAAACTCCCTCTCTTCATTTCCTGAAAATTCACTCTAAATATTCCGTCCTTTTAATCACATTGTTGTTGTTATTAATTTTTCAAGTACCAATCAGGGTTAGAGAAGAGATGAAATTACCTAATTTCTCAAAGTGGTATACTATGAGACACCTTTGTAAAGAGATGGAATGATTTGTCTTTTTTTTTGGTCTATAATTCTGCTCATATTATTTGACACTTAGAAATAGTTAATTATGTGTAGTTGTAAAAAGTCCTCCCTTTTTTTAATTACTTCTGGTGCAGATTGGTTACTTTATGTGCTTAAGGCCTATGTGAACATTTTGTAATGAACTTAATCCTTTTATTCAAATACATGTAGTTTAACATTTGCCAAGTATAACATTTGCTAATCTGATACACTATATATTTCCTAGATTAGCAAAGCACTGGAACTATTTCTGTTTTTAGCTGTTTCTTTAAAATACAAGTTTTGTTGTTGCTGAGAATATACACCAGTTCAACAAATTTTCACATATAGTTCAGCCTCTTTAATTAACAAAATAATAAGTTAGCATCCATTGGCTGGAAATGGGATAATAAGTTTAGTTTGTTAGTGTTTACAAGGAAGATAACCAAGAAGGTAATTAGAGAAGGCATTATTTTTGTAAGTCCACTTAGAAAATAGATTAAGAACACTAATTTATCATTGCCTTTTCTTCCTTTAGTCTTTAGAAGTAGTTTTGGTTTCTGGTTTAACTTTTTAAAAAAAATCAATTTAAATAACATTTTAAAGTATATTAGTGATTGCCATATGTATCAATATAACTTTTCCTGAGATTATACAGTTACATGTTTTTTTCATATCCTTTAAATTTTTCTTTGCTCTTCATTCTTTGACTTCAAAATCTTATTTATAAATTCATTTGCTATTCTGCTTTAATGCAGTGAAGAAGAAGGAAAAAAGCTTTAGTGTAGAGTTATAAACAGGGCTCACTATAACAAAGTTTTTTCCTCTTATGTGTAGCTGAACCCTGCATTCAGTCTGCCTCTTGTCTTACAGGCTCCTCTTTCAGAAACAAGAGTGTGTTACCTTAAGCTTAGATACTACCTGACAGTTTCCAAGCAGTTGCACACACATTATCTCACCTGATCCTCAAAATAACCTTTAAGGTAGATGGGCCTAGTATCACCACTCTGTATTTTATAGATGAAGAAGACTGAGACGTGGAAATGTTCTTCAACTACATAAGTGGTGAAATACAAATAATTCCCAAGTTTCCTAGACTAATGTTTATTTGTACTACACTTCTTCTCAACCAATGGGATGAAGCCCAGATAGCTGCTCTCTTGCTTTTGCCCATAGTGAACCACTGTGAGAATTTCTAGGTCTTTACCAACACTATTTATACACATTTAAGATATAAGCAGTATTTACATACACATTGAGGATATAATGATAATTGATGAGCTTGTCCTCTGCAGTTTTGGATTAATGCCTTCAGCCTTGAAGTATCATAAAAGAATGAATCTGTTTGTTGATATTGTTAAAAACAATCAGTAAAAAGCTGCCTTTACCAAATGTCTAGCCCCTACCATTTACTTTCTTAATCTAAGGTTTTATATCCTGTTGTCTTTTAAATTCCCCCCAAATGCCAGGCTTTCTATTTTCATGAAAAGAAACAAGATAGATAAGCTTTTCCCTAACCATGCCAGAAGAGTACAGACTATATATATACATAGTATAGAATAGTAAAAGTAGAGACGTTAGAATGAGGTTTCATTTGAAGGATCCAGTTTAAGAGAGTGTGTGTGTTATATTTATTAGCTGCCATTAAATTAACTTGAGTTTAGGGTAAATTTATGTACAACAGAATGAAATGTTGTCCAATCCTATGTCAACTCAGAATCCTTAATATCTTTGAGTTTATTATAACTGTTGGTGCCAGCCCGTTTCATCTGGGTCTCCCATACCCTCGTTGGCCCTTTGCTTCTCCAAATGTGATGCCCTCCTCTGGCACTTACTCTCTTAATGATAAGGCCAGGAAGGTCTCATGGCATAGTGGTATGAAGCTGCACTGCAATCCCAAAGGCATGTAGCTACTCCATGGGAGAAGAATGGGCAGTCTCCTTCTGTGTGACTTACTGCCTCTGAAAACTTACTGGAGGGTCAGCTATGGGTCCGTTCCAGTTCGACAACAATGATGTGTCCAGAGCAAATGAATCACATTGATGTTCTGTTGTAATCTATAAAGTTTTTATGAACTCATTTTTTGAAGGAGATTGCTAAGCCTTTCTTTCTAGACGTAGTCTAGGGACTCCACTAACTTTGTCTCCTGTGAAAACTTTTCCATCATGTGACTCACTTTGCACCTCTCTGATCTTTTATTTACAAATAACTATTATTTTATAGCCATGATCAAATTTTATTTGACTTGTAGACTAAACTATTTTAACCTAAGCTATAGCTTTCACCTAAGGAATAAAAATACCCTTTGTTTTCTTCAATATTTTAATAATTTAAAAATTAAACTTTATTATTTTATTCAGGAGATATTTTCAATATTTAAATTTTTAAGGATTCTTGACTAGTTCTTTAAATTATTTTTGTCTAGTAAAACTAGTTGTAACTAATTTCTCCTAGTGAATTACCTTTTATGTATTCTCTCATTGCATTTTTTAAATTCCAAACACCTTGAAAGCAGAGGTCTAACTCTTTACCTTGTAAGGTAAATATTAGAAGAAATGATTGAACGGAAATCTCATCAAAATAGAATGATTTAATAAAATTCTTATTCTACAGTTATGACCAAAAATCCTTTTTTCTTGAAATATTTGTTAGGAACAATTACTAACTTAATTTGTATTAATTTGTAGCTTCTAGTTTCTTAGAGAAATGTGGTAGCCTAGCGGTAGGAGAGGATTAAACCAAGCTGCTCCTTGGAGGCAAGGATTCTGGGGCTTCGTCTGACATACTTTGGGCATGTTGCCAGGAGGGACGGGTCCTTGGAGAGGGACATCATGCTTGGGAGGGTGGAGGGACAGCGCAGGAGGGGAAGACCTTCTATGAGATGGATTGATTCGGTGACTGGGGTAATCGGGATGGGTGTGTCAGAGGCAGTGCGGTTGGCGCAGGATAGAGCAGGGTTTAGAGCTGTTTTGCATACGGTCGCTATGAGTCGGAAACGACTCGATGGCACATAACAACAACAACAGTGGTAAGGCCAGCCCAAAGGCAGGCTGTTCAAATCCACCAGCTACTTCATGAGGGAAAGATGCACAGTCTCCTGCTGTCCGATTTATAGGCTCTGAAAATCTGCTCGAGGGTTAGCTGAGAGTTGGTTCTGACTCAGTGGCATCCTTGAGGATACTCCAGCCTTCCTAGATATGTCTGTTTTAACTGTCTTTTAGTGGATGATACCACCCTCTGGCATGAATTTACACTGTCTCTATCTTTCTCTCTACATTTTATTGGTACATGCTAAATGAGAAAGCTAAGAGCTTTGGTGATTAGTTCAGACTTTGTTCTGTTCTTAAGAAAATTGTCATCATAATGTTAGCTTAGTAGACTTTACTGTGTAAGTATTCACCTCTTAAAGACGGGTGCTATTTTTTTCATGTTTCACGCCCTAATGCAGGGTTGCTGAAGGAGAGCAAGACATTAGACCAGGTAGATTGAAATGGTGACCGCTGCAGTGGGTTCTAGTGTGTCAAGAAGTGTGAGAATGGCACAGGACAGGACAAGGTTCAAATCTGTTGTTCATAGGTTCACTCTGGGTTGTACTCGAATTGATGGCAACTAACAACAACATAATATAGGACTGGTCATTTTTAAAAAAAATATGAACTGTTATTAGTGCATCTTCCTAGATGTTTGGCTACATGGAAAATATTAGATCCCTAGCATTTATATCTTTTTTCACTTTCAATCTGTGTCGTAATCTTCCTTAACTCTGATTGCTCTGGCAGCCTAGTTGTAAGAAGCTGTGTTGCAGTCTGCTCTTGGGAGAAGGATGAACAGTCTCCTCCTATGTGATTTACTGTCTCTGAAAAGCATCTGGAGGGTCAGCTCTGAGTTGGTTCTGACTTGATGGCACATAGCAACAGCTGTAAAGCTGTTAATTTGAGGAGGATGAGAACTTTTCTTACTGCTTGTTGTTTTTGTTGTTATGTGCCGTCGAGTCACTTGGGAAGAGTTCTTACTGCTACTTTATATAAATTAGAATATCTGTTGCTGACCTTTAGTTTGCCGATTTATTCCAGATTTATAATGATCTTGTTGTTTTGTGCTGTTGAGTCACCTGCAATTCATAATGACTGTATGTATGTACAATAATAGTTCTGAATCCTGCCAATATTGTTGTCTCCAACACACCTCTAATACCATTACCCTAGTCACAGAGTCAATCCATCTTACCCAGTGTCTTCCTCTCCTGTGCTGTCCCTACACCCTTCCAAGTATGATGTCCTTTTCCAAGGACTGATCTCTTCTGGCCATGTACCCCAAACATGTGAGATGTAGCTTC